TTCCTCTACCGAGTAGAATAGTCTGACTGTATGTTTCTGATGCTGATACTTATCTCTTCCTCTACCGAGTAGAATAGTCTGACTGTATGTTTCTGATGCTGATACTTATCTCTTCCTCTACCGAGTAGAATAGTCTGACTGTATGTTTCTGATGCTGATACTTATCTCTTCTTCTCCCAAGTAGAATAGTCTGACTGTATGTTTCTGATGCTGATACTTATCTCTTCCTCTACCAAGTAGAATAATCTGACTGTATGTTTTTGATGCTGGTACTTATCTCTTCTTCTCCCAAGTAGAATAGTCTGACTGTATGTTTCTAATGCTGATACTTATCTCTTCCTCTACCGAGTAGAATAGTCTGACTGTATGTTTCTGATACTGATACTTATCTCTTCTTCTCCCAAGTAGAATAGTCTATTGTAATAACTACTGGAAGGTAAAAATGACCTATCTTGGATTTATCACAAGATCAGGTAACATAGAGGTTAGTAGGTATGTTAAACTTAACATTCTGTGACAGAGAGTGTGTGATTTCCACTCAAAGATATAACAGCTGATGCTTTAAGTATCATTTTAGACTCATTATGTGCATTAACATAAAAATGATAAAGATTTTCAGACTCTTCTTTGCTCTGTTTTTAAAAAAGTGGTTTACAGCTTGACAAAGGCTGGGTAAGAGTCGAAAGCTAGCAAAAATACTGAAAAACAAGAAATGTCTGAACATCTTTTAATTTTTAAACTAATTAGGTGACAAGGTGAAAAGTATAAAGTGTCATGTTTTGTATTAGTAAATACTGATTCCTACAGCTGCTGATATCTGTACTGTGTATTGTTTAATAGTACAGTGTCCAGCTAGTGGGCAGTGTTGTGTGATGTATTTGTAAATATTGATTCCTACAGCTGCTGATATCTGTACTGTGTATTGTTTAATAGTACTGTGTCCAGTTAGTGGGCAGCGTTGTGTGATGTATTTGTAAATACTGATTCCTACAGCTGCTGATATCTGTATTGTGTATAGTTTAATAATACTGTGTCCAGTTAGTGGGCAGTGTTGTGTGATGTATTTGTAAATACTGATTCCTACAGCTGCTGATATCTGTATTGTGTATTGTTTAATAGTACTGTGTCCAGCTAGTGGGCAGTGTTGTGTGATGTATTTGTAATTCCTGATTCCTACAGCTGCTGATACCTGTTTTCTGAGAACAGTCTACATTGGTACACATCTGATTAGAAGTTTACTTACTCTAACACAGCTGAGTTGAAACCATTTTGTAGGTTTCCCAGATACTCCCCAATGTTATGTTTACTGAGTCCTTTCCTGGAGATCAAGAACCGAGCTACAGCCTTGGCCGTTGCTTCTAAGAAATTTTTTTGGATCAGGTAAGAAATCCCCTTTTCTGGCTTTTTGTTGAAGAGGTTCAAACCCACTCTGTACTGACGTTTTCTCTGAAGATCTGACACCTGTGACTGTAGAAAAACTGGCCATTACTTTACAAGTTAAGTTACAGTTAAGAACTACAAAACATATTACAAGTGACACTCTTTTTTCAGTAGCTGGGGACAGCTAAACAAAAAAGTATAGAAATATTCTGATTTATGTTCATTAAAGTTTAATAAATTAGAAAGGGCAGTAATGATATAATGATATAAAAAAAAGGCCAAAAACTAAATTTAAACAATTCTATTATTTGCATTAAAATTGTTTTAAGACAACAAAAACTAACTTCTTGATTAATTGCCCTTAGTAAGTGATAAAGTGGTAGACCTGAATGAAATATAATGTTTAAATATTTGAAGACAAACAATGAACCGAGGAGAGGCTGTCATACCTTATGTTGTGATGTTGTGGAGGTAATTTCTTGAGCTCTACAACATTCCGAATAGTTTGATCCCACGAAGGCATCAGATGATGAGACGGGAGGAATCGTAGAGTAGCTTGCACTCTCCAGGCTGTCCTCACTGTTTTCTGAGATGTTACTCAAACGTTTCTCATCTACCTGTTCACCAGGTGGCATCTGTTCAGCAACAACAAGAGCTTTTCTTTTCCATATTGGAGAAGCCTCTACGACACCTTTCTTAATGGATTGTTTGGTCCTTTCGTAGACTTCTGATGGTGATGGGTTATAACCAAGACTTGGCTCCCTTGAGTTATAGTTAGTGGACGATACTTGGCTTGATCTTTTAGGAGACTTATTAAAAGTTCTCATCTCCTGAACTGGGAGAGAGGGAATTCTTCTAAATCCTTGCATTAAAACTTTTTCATGCTCTACATATGGTGGTGTGATTTTTCTTTCAACAAGATAATCAGAAGCTCTAACTGGTGTTTGCCACTGCTGACATTTAATTGGTTGAGAGGTGCATTCTAAAGGGACATTAAGAATCTGTCTGGCTGAAGATGTTCGATAAAATTGCCGCTGGCCATCTTGTAAGAAATCGACACACGGGTCTCCTGTTCCACTCTTCAAGAAGATAAAAATATGACTACTTAAACAGGTATACTGCATGCCGAGAAGTGTTAGTGGATGCTAAATATAAGACAGAGACTGACTAACAATATGACTTTCTAGAGAAACTTAGGAATAGGCATGGTATTATCTATTTTACTTTGTGCAAGTATTAATATTAGGGATGTCCACTTCTCACTTGTTGATTCTTTGTTTTTAATGTCCAAATATCAAATAGACTTACAGAAAAAAAACCCATATATAACATGAAATTTTATAAGTCACTTTTATAAACCTTTCAACAGAATATTATGTTTGTACTGATATCTATAACACATAGAGATCATCTATTTTTCATGTTTATATTATTTTTTTGGATTATATTTTTTCTGTTTAATGATATTTAATGAAATACAATAGCAAGACACTTTAATACAGTGGCAAAAAGTGTTTTTAAAAACTTACAATTATGGCACTATCTTCCGAAGAAAGTGACTGCCTAGGAGTGTAGTACCGTTCGTGTCCTCCACCAGATGGCGTTGATTGACTAGGACTAAGAAACAAAACAGGCCCACTGTTTGAGTGAGTAAACCTCTTTCCACCACTACGTGGTACTGCTGTCCATGCTGGGTGACGAGGGATAGCAGGAGACGGTCTTACACCCATTGGGGGTGTGTAATATAGACTATTATCGTCTGGTGTTGCAGGAACAAATACAAAGTCATCGGAACTGACGCGACTTAACGCATCGCCACAAGGTGATCCACGTTCTGGATAACTCTTGGGGTGATAACGAAAGTCCATTGGGTGGTTGTGTGAGCAAATTCTTTGCTCTCTGGAAACAGTGGGTCCTAACAGGTGAGTAGGCGAGGAGAGCCTGTGGTACTCTTCACCAAAGTCACGGTATAAAGTAGAAAGATTTGACCTAAGCACTGCATCCACGTAGGTGGAAGAACGTTGGAATGGAGGATCGTTATCTGCTCCATAAAAAGCATCATCTTCGGATGCACAGGAGCGACTATTACGGATGTCACTGAACATCCGGGCCTTCTCTTCAGAATCCGTTGTAGTGAAACGTCGAGAAAGTCTTCTTTCTCTTTTCACGGAATGAGCGAGCTCCTGAAACCGCCTATTCATACAGTATTTTCGAAATGCACGCTGGATAGTTAAGGCTGCTTTTCGGGCACGGATACCGCCATATTTCCGTTCCAACATTTCTACCTGTTTGTCCTGCAAGTCTTGCGAAAGTTCGTACCTGGGAAGAGAAGTTTCAAACCTTACAAACACATATCGTTTCCTGAACTGCCACAACTAATTACATCATACAAAACTAAGTACTTACTGGTTGCTATTGAGACGAGTTCGTTTCAAAGCCTCATCATCTATTCTCCAAGGTGGAGTTTTCTTTCCTCCTAAGTTCCCGCTGCTGGACCTTTGGCGGACAAGTGTTTTACTAGGGTTGAAATTAGGGCTAGTGGTTACTGAATACGATTTTGGATACGTCACGGGGGTGTCTTCTTCTGTTGGTTTTTGGGCTAAGTTACTGCAAGAAGATATGACTAAATAAGTTGTAATCAAAATGACAGACACCGAATCTCCAACTTGAACGAAAATTGAATGCTTCTACTATAATGATAATACACCACACACAGAATGCAGCAACAACAAAACTAAGAAAGGTCAACTGTTGTATTAAGTATTTAATGTTCAATTACGATTACAATACAACGTGACATCGAATAATAACGTAGCTATATAAGGTATAATGAGATTTCTCCATTCATTTACAGCACCAAAATATGAAGGTAGTGCTACGTGATGTAGCCTCGTTACCAGTAGAAACTCCAATAGATAAAGTTAAGATAACTTTCATTGTCTATGGTTGTTTCTACAATATAACAAATTCTTATTGTTTGAAAACACGTATTACTGATCTACGACACCTAACAATACCTCAATCAAGTACCTAATTTCTAAGAGGGACAAGTGTCTTTGTTTTGTGTTACTACAGTTAGTTTCTAAGAGGGACAAGTGTCTTTGTTTTGTGTTGCTACAGTTAGTTTCTAAGAGGGACAAGTGTTTTGTTTTGTATTACTAGTTAGTTTCTAAGAGGGACAAGTGTTTTGTTTTGTATTACCAGTTAGTTTCTAAGAGGGACAAGTGTTTTGTTTTGTATTACTACAGTTAGTTTCTAAGAGGGACAAGTGTTTTTGTTCTGTGTTACTACAGTTAGTTTCTAAGAGGGACAAGTGTTTTGTTTTGTATTACTACAGTTAGTTTCTAAGAAGGACAAGTGTGTCGTTTTGTATTACCAGTTAGTTTCTAAG